TTCCTGCCCAATTCTGAGTAAAATTGCATAAGCTCTCTTTCAAACTTGTGCTGGATATATGGGTGGCGGGCTAAGAAAGGAACAACTTTTACAAATTGGAATAGTAAACTAACGAATGTACTGGATTACTGCTCCGAGTGAGTTTGGTAAGGGCTTTCCCGATGGCAATGGAATGCCTGATGATATATGAATGAAACTCTGTCACAAGTTTCCAGGAGGTTTATGGCGTGGGTAGAAAGTCATGAAACAAACCCGTGTAGGCTGAAGAGCCTCTACAGACTGCCACAATTTTAGGAATCCTAGTCTCTTTGAACATTTCTCTCATCTGCCCTCATGATCACGCCTCCACAATCGAAATTGTAGCTCTAAAATGCATCCAGATGTCGACAACAAAGACCATACGTCGATTTCCCCAGTCGGTATGATAGTTTATCTCCAAGACCACAACTTCTTATAATCCGTTTGCTTAAATGACCAGTTACCCGAGCATAATGCTTTGTAGTTGACCTCCCTACACCACGTTGGATCAACACTCATGAGCTGCATGTACAGAACATTGCGAATTGACACAATGTACAATCAACAAAAAAAAGTAAAGTTGGCAAGAAGTAGAGAGAGGGAAAAGAATACGAACAAGGAGACCAAGAACGAACACAACCCACCACAAAAGCCAGGCTGCCACACCGAAAGACAATACCTCATGGCAACCATCGCCGAGATTAATGCACTGGTGTGTTGGTATTGCAACGAACTCGAAACTGTGCGGCGTCAGCGCAGTGGCAGTGGTTCACAATGCGTACGCTAAGTGCTACTGATATAATAGTCATTAGACTGAACATTATCAGGGAAGATGGGATGAGCGCGTGATGGGGAGAGGAGGAGGAGGGGCTTCTAGTTGTTGGTGCTGTGACTATTGACACGGCATGGATGGCCAGGGCTAGCTGACTTGGGCAAGAGACAACGACACGACGAACTACCGCATTGATGATGGGAATTGGTATCGCACCACGCAACTGCGTTGTCTTCTTCAAAGGAGGGCGCTGAAATAGCCAAAGAGTGTGATTTAAGTCAACTTGCTTCTTTGTTAATTACTGAGGATGATGCAAAGAATTAAACTCCTTTAAACTACAAGAAAAGACGATCTGCGAGAAAAATGTGCTCATGGAATATCATTGTCTAGTCCTTAGAAATAGGTAGAAGGAAATACAACCCCACATTGCGGTTCGCACCGTCTGAAGCAGAAGAGTGACCACAAAAAGCACCAAGAATTCCGTTCCCTATACGCTTATAATAAAGCTACTTCCAGACCCATACTCCAAGTTACACCATCTACTGAGGCCTGGAGGAAGACACGTTTTAGATAGTGGAGCCATTTCACCTTATTTTGTAAGAAGTAGTGCAAGAGACATCCAGACTAACCCTCGAACTAATGTTAATGTAGGTGGGATGAGTCACCAGCATACGACAAAAACGAGTCACAGCATTGAAGTGACAATATACAGAAAGCACAAAAGCGCAGAATCCTACGGGAGACATTCAAGTCAAACCAGGACCTTTACATCCACAGCCATGCTATAAAAGGCGCATTAATGAGGTAGCACTACATCTAGAAGTAAGCACTAAGTGTTCCCCACTACAAATTGTCGGTGCACGTGTAGAGGAGACAAGCAAAAATGAAATAACACTGAACACAAGGCAATCATTCTGGGTTACAACAATTTGAAAATACAAAAAAGTTGCCACATCCACACCGTCTACCACGACATCCTCACAAAAGAGTTGAAGGATTGTTTTGACAAGGCAGACTAGAACCCTACGATCGCCCCACTAGTATGATATGTGATAAAGCAGGACCGCAAAATTCCACTTTGGAATCAAAGTGGACATAAGAACATATGGATGATTTGCCCAATCTTGCCTTCTAGTATGAAATCAAAGGTGTCGATTTGACATGGACGCTTCTCGTAAATCGCCAACAACAGTAATGGTGATGATAGGTTGGAAGTAAGAATGCAGCAGTGTGAACAGAGGACCCATATCTATCCACCTACCCGAATGGAAGAACTTTTCGTCGGGAAGCGACTCAGAGTGCACCAGGGTTAAACTGGAGAGCATCTCAGAGGACAACTCAGGATCCGGTTGGTTAACCATAGCTTCCACCAATTCTTCACGGTGGCAGTTGCAAGGACAACATGAGCCGCTGGAGGAGATGAAGGACGCGCCCATGGGGGAGTAACGATGGGTGAAAACGCTGCAGCTACCACCACTGCTCCACGAGTTCTCCATCACCGAAACAGAGGTAGAGGTTGCGGGAGCGCTTGTGCACTCGTCCTTAGTGTTCCACACAAAACTTAAACTATCATTTACTCGATCCAATTCAATTCGATTGGCGTGCACCCGATTAATTAACTCCTGACATCCCGATTCGAGCTGTAGCAGGTCGTCTGAAATGCTATTGGTCAAGGCGACAAGATCAGAGAGGCCTTCGCCGTAACGCACACCCGCTTTGTGGGTTTCGCGAGGCTCGGTGGAGCAGCCTTCGCACTCTTCTTCGTCTTGATCAGTATATTCTTCAAAACAGGCGTCAGTGCGATTGTGGAGATCAAAAGTAAAGTAGACACCCTCGTCATCCAGCTCCAGACCTTCAGCTTCGGGATGATCGCCTTCTTCGAGGTCTTCTTCAACAAGTGGTGAGGTTGCAGCTTCTCGAGTCTCGCGGCGCGCATCAACGGCGCAGTCACGTCGGACGACCGGGATAGAGGGAAAGAGAATGGGTTGGGGACGTGGATGAAAATAGCACCGTTTCACAGAGCTGGCAGCGGCCAGGTTCACAGCACGGGCTTCTTCGGTATTGAAAACGTTCTCAAATTCCTGGTCCATCTCCTGAAGGGTGGCAAACAGAGTTGTACGTGGAACAGTCTTCCAAAACTCCAGGGCGCATAGCGCGACCTTAGAGGATGAAGACGATCGGACCGATGGTGGCGATGGCGATGACGATGATGCAGCCGCAATGCTTGTGCTAGTAGGCGCCACACAGGCAACCAACTTCGGTGAGCGATGGAAGAGTGGTGTTGATGACGACGAACTGTCTTCAGTATGCAATTCTGCAACAAGAAAACGTTCGCTTTATTAATTTCCATTCACTACCTTAGTGCCACTGTACTACGGTAGTGATATTTCTTCCAACATCTTATCAACCCTTTTGTTCTATGCAGAGTCAAAATTCTTATAGTATCTTCGGCTATCAAAGTCACATCCACGTTCGATATGCACTTTCTCTTTCATTACAATCAACAACCAAAGTAGCACTAGATAGAAACGGTTCAAAAACGTCTCTTCTGAACCTGCATACCATATTCTTATAAAAATTTGGGTTAAACGAATTAATGATAATTCTACCCTGATCACCCCCAGTACTCCGATACAAGCCAAACAGACGATCAAACGACATGAAAATAAGGACAAACTCACAAGAAGATGTGAATGTTGAATAGCAGCGCTGTGAAGTTACCTCAACTTGGGTCTTACTACATGATTCTTCTTTAAAACAAATTATCTTTCTAATAGTAACTGAGGTAAGAAACACTGGTTGTAGGGCGTCGACCAGCCTCGAGTATTGCCCCATTACAGTTCACAAGGGGGACGCAATTGTTGACCCATCGAAGCCTGTGACGTGCATTACTGACATAGAAAACAAGTGCCCTCTCAATGTGATGGGAAGTCGACGCAGAGCCATTATGTGAATTGTGCCTAAATAAACACGTTTTGAAAGCAATCTCGTAAATCAAATTGCAAGACGCATTAAAAGGAGACCTTGGCTTGCACACCGATTAATCCTTGATAAATACAAAATCCAGCAAGTTTTCAAAATCCTGTTTACCACGATGCCGTAACTCTAGAAGCCTCACCATTGAATGGAGACACCACTGACGTCAGGATGAAATGTCATATCATCTTGAGGGCGGTTCTACCTTTTAATGAGCCATTTGAGTTGCTGTAGCTTATAACGTTTGAGTGATCATGGATATAGGCAACTGTTTCAGCTCCAGCTTGTCCATACGGCTTCTTCAGCCACCACCTTGGTATTACTATGGGACTTCTGCTTGTATTTCACCAACCCTTTTAAGCATTTACAAAAAAATTCTAGTCGGATTCACATTTTTTAACTACAGGTAGGTCTCAGATGTCAAGAAGCTTTCTAGCATAAACGAAATCAAATAAACAAACATATCGAGACTCTTGATGCGAAATATGAACTGTGTAAAGGTAATTATATTTCCGACCAACTTGTTTGCATAATCTAACTGGGGTTTTGCCAGCGGAACATTTGGCGAGTGAGGTATGCTAAGACCCGTGCTCTAAACTTTCAGTACAGACTTGTTCATTGATTTAAATATACTTCATTTCCTTTCTCATTTGAGGATTTGAGAAAAGCATTCCCAACAAGTGCCTGACGGTAGTCCTGCTCCAGACTAGCTTCGTATTTTAACAAATAAACACTACTTATTTACTGGGTTTTGATTATACAATATTAACCAACAAGGCACTATAGTCCCTCATGTCCCAGCCTTCACGTCGGCCACTTTAATAGTCTCTAAGCTTTCCCGTGTGATTGTTGTAAGACTAGTTCCAGGCGTGGATACTTTAAACACCCTCAGTGATAGCTTGAGGGTAGTATCATGATGAAAACAGCATTATGTATAAATTTGCATTCATAAGTTGACATGGGATGGAAGTTGCACAACAGTTCAACTTCTCGACACAGAAACAAATAATACAGTGAGTGTATGTGTGCATGTATGTATAATAATATTGAGAGCGATGTCGGATTTGGCGTGGGCGACTATTACGTAACCGCAGAGGCGACGAGCATTTCACTAGCTGTACAAGTAAACAAAAAAGATGGCGCAATAGTTGTGCGCATATGAACGGACGAGCGGATGAAGTAGACTGCAATCCGAGAGGAGAGAGGGGAAAGAAAACATTCAATGAAATGGCAACACGCCGCATCAAGCAAAATGGCGCAGAGTGATACGGTTCGACCTTTTGTAAATAATGTCACCAACATATTACTTATATTAATAGACGATCCATTTGTACATACATGCTGTTATCCAACAGCTAAATGGGTTGAATTCCACCCAGCTAAAAATTTATCTGGAACAGGGCACCTAATGTGAATGGCTAAGTCCAACAAAAAAGTGATTGCTAAAAGCACTTCAGCACAATAATGTTTATTAATGAAGCGGGTGGGGTACGGAGTGGTTTACGTGGTTCAAGAAAGGTCACGGAAAGGGAGACAATGAAGTTGGCGTTGGGTGTAATCATCAAAAAAGGAAGTATGAGCTCAACATAACCGTAAAAGCATCGTGGTTGATATCATTACATCTGGATACCACTATAAAGGCCTTAGAAAACGACAGAGCAATCTGTCTAACATGACAGACTAGCAACGAAGTTCAGTACCTACCCTTTATTTAGAATGAAACTAAGACCATCACAGAAAGACAGGTGCAAAACCGAGAAGTGGGATACCAATGTAGTCATACAGTAAGTTTCCTTTTAGGCTGGTTCTTATTAGAATCCTTTCCTCTAAAGGGATCTCGACTAACAACAAGCACGCTATAGAATGAGATATAACAGCAGCATAAGATTTAATAACCATTTTGGTGCCTCATAACGTTTTCCCAATGTTTGCAGCCTCTCCAACGTTAATGATGAACGCTATTATGTACCAGTGTGCTCTGTTAGGACTTCAGCGAATACTCGAAGTGTCATATCAGTGACAGCGGCGAGCCACTGAACCTAGCCCAACGCAGATTTCACTGGTTAGATACGAAATCCATACGTCAAAGAAGAGAAGTGGTACTCAGCAGATGACAAAATGTGCAGACTCAACCAAAAAGACTATCAAAGCTACGTCCACTTTTGACAAGCACTCCCTCCCCTCGCATTGTAAATCAACAACCAAAGTAGCACCTGCATACTATATTCTCATAAAAATTTGGGTTAAACGAACTAATGATACCTCTACTCTGATCCCCCTAGTACTCCGATACAGGCTAAACAGGCGATCAAACGACATGGAAATAAGGACAATCTGATAGGAATATGCGAATATTGAATGTCAGTGCTGTAAAGTTACCTCAACTTGGGTTTTACCACATGATCTTTCTTTAAAGCAAATTATCTTGCAAATAGTGACTGAGGTAAGAAACGCTGGTTGTGGGGCGTCGACTCGTCTCGAGCATTACACAGTCAGGGTTGTTGCCGCATTACAGTTTACAAGGAGGACGCAAACTTTGACCCTCAGAATCCTATGTGAGGCATTACTGATATCTAACTCAAATATCTTCTTTTCTTGATGTTTCGTTGGTGACTCTTTCAAAGCATCCACAAAGGTAATGGTGATCAATGCAGAAGAATGAAAACGACGTTTAAAACTGGAAGGGATCACAACTTACTTCGTTGTGTCACAGAATCAGCTGATAGACGCCAGAAACGACTGGCTCCATTCTTTACGTCAGAAGCAATGTACAGGCCAGATTTGTTGGTAAAAGGTGAATGGTGCCCCGAGCACATCTCAACGGAGAGGCAGATGGAGGAGGCATTGGAGATAACTTGAGCGCGGCAAATACCTGCGTTTGGACGCGAGGGTTTTGACCACCTGACGGGAGGCACATCAATCGTAGATTCACTGTGACAGCGCTGGCGGCCCAGATCTAGGCTCGGATAGACATCCTCTTCAGAGTTGCGCATCAGACACAGGAGACATTGCGCCGACATCGCAGTGGCAAGTTTGCAAGTATGAAAACACATTCCTGAACTGAAAGGCATCTGTAGAGCTTCCATAGACGACGTAGAGGTCGGCGTTATGGGATAGAGGGGCTGTTGTTGGTGAGATTGCAGCGTTGACGTTTTGGACAGAGGAACAGGAACAGAGGGATGAGGAACGCACTGGGTGTAGCGAAAAGCAGCTGCCCGCAGAATCTCCGAGATTAGTGCCGACTTAGTCCTCAACTCCTGCAGACGGGCAGTCACAGGAGTGTCGGAGTCCTGTGCAAATTAAGAGACAGGCTAAAGTTTAAAGTCTACGTGAGGCCTTCCCTGGCTGACTGAACAAACGCGCATGCTTGCACTCGAATGTTGCTTTAAGAACCTCGGTTTCCTCTTCAACAAACCTTTAAAAATTTTAAATCATTTCGTCGATTAGTTCAGTTTAAGCACCCATTTTAATTTGGCAGTTAATGCTGTAGGTTTCAATAGCATAAGGTGAAGGTGATTGACCATATGCGACTATCATGAATACAAAATCACCTAATCTTAAGCTACAAATGGGTTAGTGCCCTCGGATTCGAAAGTAGCGAAAAACCCCCCAAAAATTTCCCTTAAAATGGACACGTGACTGCCTAGCGAATGCTCTCTGGTTCACAAAAATAGATCTTAGGCGTGTACGTGCCTGTAAGTGTTTGCAAAGGCATGCAGTTGTGTTTAGCCGAATCTACCGGCCAATTGTTAGAGAGGGAAATGGGCAACCTTTACCACAGTCGTGCAGTAATCCGAAGCAGCTTTTCATAACTACCCCAAAAATACATGCGAACACATGCGCAACATGGTTCATGCTTAAACAACCATCGTAAAGGAGAAGAAATCGGTGTTGGAAGCGAGTCACGTGAGAGAGGAATAAAATAACACAACGATTGTCAGACGCGCACGCACACTATCACGGATCACACATGCAATGATTCCGCAGACAACTACCCCCTCGAGCATAACAAGTGCATAAATTTTACAGGAGATGTCGTAGTGGAAACACCATATCTTCTCCAAGGCCTACTTATTGCTCACAAAAACGCGCACGTTAAACTACCCAGATGACAGTTTCAAGGCACCAAAGTCCTAAAAGCAGACAAACTCCTCCATTTGTCAAAGTTCGTTGAAGTTGCCACCACAACAGGTTTTTTAATTCAATAGAGGAAACTTCGCTCCGTGTGCAAAGAAATGATGAATCACCCAAAAGAGATGGGGTTAGCCTTGAGGGTGTTAAAGGAATCGAAATTTCAGTCTGCAAATAGGGCTTTATCTTAAATGGAAAAGGCAAGCTGCATGGGCGAGTCAGTAGGTTTCTTGATAGAAAATTCGTTAAAAGTTTAAGAATTCTTTCCCACCGTCTCTACCGTTGGATGTGACTTTCTCCTGTCACGTGGTCTTCCTGCTTCACACACTGCAGCAGTTGGGAAGATGAGCATATAGAATTTGCCTAAAATCGTTTCGGGCACAAGGTGTCCATTTAAGCCTCAAGGTTATCCGAGTGGACTCTTCAGTTGCCACAATTTTGGTCCACTAACTAAACAGTATGAGGTTCCGCTCATATTCTTTCTGTGAACTTCAGTACCTTCGTGATAGCTTTATCCAGAAACGTACGTTTTATAAGGACTTCAGCGATAATCCGGCTGCCACATTAATGGCATCGGCGGACTAATCCGATCAAAACAAAAAACAATCCCCACATCACCGTGGATCGTTGAGAGCGCGGATACACACAACAAGAGGATTATCAAAACTACTAACTTTCGTTAATCACCATAGTCTCGTTTTCGGTAAAAAGAAGGTTAACAGCAGGATTAACATCAGACCTGTACGATTGCATAACACTCAACATTTATGTAAAAATGAACGCTACTTAGATAAATGACAACTCCAACATGATATGAGGAGCCGAATTGAATCCAGAGAGATGAGTGAGCAGCTTTGACATAAAAAGAGGGCAAATAGGGCAAAATAATTATATAAATCAACTTTAAATTTTAGTAAAAGACCAAACTTTAGCCAAATGCTTCCAAGGAAGGAAGGTGGCATAAAGACATGCTTGTTGTGGAACAACGAAACTCCCCTAAGCAGTGCCGAATCAATTAATCTCTGCAACGAAGTTTGAAAGGAGAATCCAGCTAAATTCTCAAGAATCCTTACAAATAACGGGATCAGACATCTCCTCGGTTTGATGGAAAATCAATGCATGTCCCTTATTCCTAACCACAGAGTGCTCTTTCAAGGCACAAAAGGGTGACTGGAAGAAGCGCTGAGGGTGGTACTTCAAAAGAGGGGAGCTATGCGGCTGAAGAATACTTGCTCAATCTCACTTTTAAATGTTCGGGTTCCACGTTCTCCGTGGTTTCGATTCTCGTCTTGTCATTACAATATCCCGTTCATGTTGTTTTGGTTAACACTCTGGCAGACCTTCTCTACATCTAATAATAAAGTTTTGTCTGGAACTGTGCATATTCAGCGAAAGCTCGAATGCAGCAAAATAGACTCTCAGAACAATAGTACTAATGCAGGAATTTTCTTAAAAAAAGGGAAGAATAGGCATATGAGCAAATTGCAAGGCTTAAACCAATACCACAGACGATATTTAAAAAGGGTCGCTGAATTTGAGAGAGCCGTATGCCTGTGAAACCTATTCAAGAGCATCAAACAGGACGTCGATTGCAAGGCAACGGCTAACGAAGTTAGACTCAGCTAAGCACTTTCCATTCATTAGGGAATCAAATTAATATCTCTGTAGCAATGGTCATTGGTTCCGCTATATCACTTATCAATAAAGGTGGCATTCAAGGTAGCCATTCAAGTAGTCACTGGGTTCAAGAGGGAGAACCGATGGGAGATACGCGACAATGGAGTGACCTTTAGAAGCAGTCAAAGTTTCCCACATTCAACATGAAATAAAATCAAACGGTATTTAGAAGGCGAAAGCACCAAAATAAGTGAGAAACCTTTTCAATATCAACTAACGACACTCACCACCATCAGCCATTCAAGTAGTTTGTGGAGTTTTAGGATGCTCAACGCGGCAAGACTGAGTGCGAGGGAGACCAGGTAGATGAGAAACCGCATACCCGGGTCGGAGACTGGAGAAAAGATTTTTAAAATAGTAAAGAAACACGATATGATCCTGATCTTTTGAAGTAAACTCCAAGACTGATACACACTGTACAAAAACTTTAGCTCAAGTGAGTGCCTTTATGTGATCATTTATTATTTGTCAAATATTTAAAGGCTTGACTTTATGCGAGACGAGTAAAACTATCGTATGGGAAGATTGTATCAAGGCACCGATAAAGCAGGAACGTGACACGATGGCATGCAGGTGAAGTTGTGCCACGTATATTTATTATTATTCAAAGATTCCAATTTTCAGAACAAATTAACACTGAAAAAAGTGCTGCGGTTTTTGAAGAAAAAAAATTTGAGATTGTAGCTAGAGAAGGAGGGGCATTGATTATAAAATACCCAAAGTCAAAAATACAGTTATCGAACAATAGAACCTTCCGAGCGAGGAGCATTAAAATAGTACTTTAAGCACACAGTGTGCTTAAATTTCTGCACAAAAAAAGATGCTCTCACGGTGCAAAAAAGAGCAATTGCACCTACTACCACGCAAACGTCACCCAAGCATTTGAAAAAAGGAGTTTCACATTTCTACTACCTACCTCCAGCATGAATCATTTTCACCTTTCCTTTGGTGCATTTGGAACCCACTTTATGGGAATCGATGATGAGAGCTAGCTCACTATCATCGCTCGAGGCCATTTGTTTCATGGAAGACTCCAATGGGGCCCGAATGTGGCGATGTCTTGAGAGCAAAAGTGGTTTTAATTTGAAGGCAGTGGAAGCAGCGACGAAGGAGGAAGTCGAGATGGTCTGTTTGTAAATCCCGGCATCCAGTAGAAAGGAAGGGATTTTAAGCCTCCGCATGGAGAGCCCCCATGTCAACCGAGCAGTTTTTGTCATTGAGACTAAAGTTTGTAGTCAGGAGTCTATTAAATGTAGAAAGCGCATTTCAACTTACAAAGTTCTCAAGCGCGAAAAATTTACTGAAATACAACACCATCCAGGAGGTTAATTGACATACAGAGGAAGTGGAATGTCAGTATTCTGCATCGATAGAATTTAAATGACGGACTGGAATAAACCAAAATCTGGGCATAATACGAACCAGTCCCCACATATACAGTAATACAAGCACGATTCGGATTGACGAAATGCATCCAAACGATAAAATAAGCGTACAAGAAGCCCGTATGAAAAACATGCAAGAGGTTCCATAGCAAACAGTCGGTTAAAAAAACTGTTGCATGTACCGAAGTCGTTAAGCGAGATATTTACCTGCGAACAACAAAACTACATTACGTGGGCACTAGCCAGCAGAGGAGCTGACTGTTATAAGCTCGACTAACCAAACACCGGTGCAAGCAGGCGGAAAGCGCTGAAACAATAGTACGAAATTTCCACCGAAAAGGGCACTCGAGGTCAAAAAAAGTGACAATAAAAATGGATTAAACAACTTGTAAGCTGTTCAAAACAAACTAAATCACTCTGTACTTTAAGCATTTTCATAAATTTTAAAGGCTCAAAATCTGTGGGAAAGCATGACAGGTAGCTTTTTTGCAGAGGTGCAAAAGGAATTCATCATTTGCACCACAGATGTATTTTGCTAGGGTAAATGCATGGATAAGGAAAGCCCCAAGTCCAAAATTTGTGTAAGGCTTGGTACAAAAGAATGTTTGTTTGTAGTTGGTGTTGGGAATTCTTATGCCCTAGAGCCAAATAATATGCTCAAAAACTGCGTGAAAAAACGATGCATTTCAAAGAGTTTGACCTAAATAAAAGCAGCACCACGCTTTCTTTTTCGCATGCTCTAAAATGACTTTATTACAAACTTGTTATGTTTTTACAACTCCTTTGATGAAGCCGATCCAAGACAGTAATGTTATTCTTGTAAATGATCTTGGGTGTCATTAGTGGTTAGGGCTGTATTTTATCTTTCTTTACTTGCCGCCAAATTACATCACCTTTGCAGAGAAATGCTATTTTAAAAAGTCCAATGCCTTTATTTTAACTGTTCTTTGGAAGAGTTTACTAGTAGTAATAAAAAGTGTTGTTTTTTTAATTTGCACAACTGAATTTTTCTATTACTAAGGTAGGCAGTTAGACCTTACTCTTTATGAACCGAAATGCAAGGTTATTAACGAATGCAAGTCGAAGTAATTATTCCTGCACGTTAATCTAGTAAAATTGCCATGATTAAACAATTTTTGGGCTTTTCATGGAAGTGTGAATTTCGATGAATATATGCAAGGTATGAGCATTCTCCCTGGTAGTAAGTACTGTGTTTTTAGTGTCTGTTGACAATTGGGTTCATCCTAACTGGTGAACCATGGCTGCAAGCATGAATCGGTGGTTTACTCGAATGGGAAAGCTAGGTGTCGGCCTCGTTGCAGCTGGCAGTATCTTACCTCTTGTCATTTATAATGGTAGCAAATGATTTTGTCTGAGATTATGTGGTATTAGTTGATGGAGGTCAGCGTGCTGTCATTTTTGACCGCTTCAAAGGCGTTCGCCAAACGGTTGTCGGGGAGGGCACCCATTTTATTATTCCGTGGGTTCAAAAGCCTATAATTTACGATATCCGGTCTAAGCCTCGTAATGTTCCTGTTATGACAGGGTCAAAGGGTATGTTCTGCGGGCCACCTGGTGATAATACATTTGTTGTGACGGGGTATACCTCCCTTTTTTCTTGCAGATCTTCAGACAGTCAACATCACCCTTCGCATACTCTACAGGCCACAGGCTGATTTGCTGCCCAAAATTTACTCTAACCTTGGCTTCGATTATGAGGAACGTGTCCTTCCCTCCATCACCACAGAAGTCCTCAAAGCCGTTGTTGCTCAGTTTGATGCTAGTGAACTCATCACCCAGCGAGAGCTCGTTAGCCAGCGTGTCAATGATTCCCTCACGGAGCGTGCTGCTTCCTTTGGCATTCTTCTTGATGATATTGCTCTAGTACGCCCAACTGAATGTGTTCAGTTGCCTAATGATCTCGGGTCTTTAATTTTGCTCTTTTAGGTAGTTACCAATGGAGCGATGAGGTATTAGCTGGATTTATCTTTTCTTTTAGACGCAAATATCCTTCACGTCGGAGTTCTCGGCAGCTGTTGAGGCTAAGCAGGTGGCACAACAGGAAGCGGAGCGTGCGCGTTTCCTCGTTGAAAAGGCGGAGCAGCAAAAGATGGCGGCGGTGATAAGTGCGGAGGGTGACTCAGAGGCGGCAAAGATGCTGGCTAAGTCTTTCGGCTCCTCGGGTGATGGTTTGATTGAATTGCGACGTATTGAAGCGGCAGAGGATATCGCCTACCAATTGGGCAAAAATCGCAATGTATCCTATCTCCCTGATGGTGTTAATGCTCTTCTCAATCTTCCCAATATGGGGTAGTTTTTATCCCTTCATTCTTCCCCAAATCACTCGCCATCATTGATGTAAATCACGGAGCTGCTATTTGATACAGTCCCATTTTTCGCCCTGAATTTGTGCCTTTGTCGTGGTTAGCTGTGGTGATGCCGTATCCTGGGCACTTCATCCATGGAGTAATAATAGTTTTGCTGTCGATGGGCTTAGTAGCCTAGGCTTGTCCTGCAGGTTTCGATACCAGTACTCCCTTTTGGGGTCATGTGGCACATCCATTGAGGTCATGACCTCGGAGTGTATGCAGGTCCTCGAGGTAACTTAGTTCCGAAAACTTCAAACGGGCGTGATACGATGCCTAAAAAAGGTACTACACCCGAGATAATTTTTCCACTCAATGGGGGGGGGGGAGGATTCTTAAAATCTCCGGGCTGTGCGATTGGCGTCAGCCGTAACATCGTGACTCGAGTGCCTCGTTAAATCTTATTCTTTGGAGCTTGCTGTCGTTTGGTGCCAACTATTTCGTCTTGAATGTTACTAACGTTAGTGCTGGGTACTAATTTGAACGTAACTTAGGGCAGTAGGTGCTGTCACTGAAACCCTTGAACAACTTAGGGTCTTTACTTAGATGCCCGTTACAACAGAATCGTAAGGTGTCTCGACATGCTCACTTCCTACTTACGTGGAGTAGGTTGTTCTTTCGGTGGAAGCGGGAAGGCAACGTTTAAAATAAATCTGTAGCCGCCTTTGAAAAGGGCAGCTCGAGACACCGAAATAAGAAAATCACTCTAATGCTCTACAACTCCGGGTAAGCACTTGTAGGCAAGAAATACCGGCAGACGTTGGTCATACATATTAACTTCGATGAGTGATCTCCAAAAGGCTATAGCACGGGTAAGATACCAGTGTCAATCATCGACCTGTCGGCCCGAGCCAGAGGAAAAAAACCGCACACTGGACTGCATAAACAAAGGGCAAAATCGCAATTCCCAAATTTAACGACACGGAACCGCCTGTTAGTTATTTTGGGCAACTTTAAATACGACCCACCGCAAAGCCTCGAAAAACAACCTGAATGACCATTTAATCCATGCAAAGATGGGTGCTAAATGGACGCAGATAGTCGGGAGGCAACTGCCGAGGCTGCCGAGGCAGTGAGAAAACGCGCGACTAAATACCCACGTCAACGGATAAACCCTTCAAAACCGCAACAAAATAACAATCATAAGTAGGGCTTTTGAGACGATATCGCACGTCATAGAAGAATGTTGTCTCAAAAACACAACATACTGCACATCAACAAACAAAATAACACTGCTGACGCCGACAAAGTCGAGTACAGCTAGTGGGGTCTGAGAGTTGCGCAGCAGCCACATAGGGTACCCTCAGATGAGGAAGGCTCTAACAGCAAGGGAAGGAAGTCGACCGCAAAATATTTGGAAGACATTTATTATCAAAAATAGGGAAACACACATCTTGACCATCAAATCAGAGAGCACCTAAAACAGTAAGGAATTAATAAGCAGGGAATCAGTAAATCAATATTAATCATGCTTCATGCAAGAGGTGTCT